GAATGCTGGCTGGGATCGGCGCGGGGAGCCCGGAATTCCTGCCCCTCTGGAATTCCTCCCTCCGGGCTTTCCCAGCTCTTTTCCGGCCCCAGCAATTCCACGGCCCCAGGATTCCCTGATCCCGTCGGGATCTGGAATTCCGGGATCCCTCCGTCCTGCAATCCCACAAAGGCAGCGTCCCGTGATTCCCTCCCTTTGGGCTCCCCTCATCCTGAAATCTGGTGTGCTGAGATCCCGTAAATGCGGGATCCCGTAAATCCGGGATCCTGCGATTCCCAGAGCCCGTAAATCCGGGATCTGTGATTCCCAGAGCCCGTAAATCCGGGATCTGTGATTCCCAGAGCCCGTAAATCCGGGATCCCGTAAATCCGGGATCCTGCGACTCCCAGAGCCCGTAAATCCGGGATCCTGCGATTCCCAGAGCCCGTAAATCCGGGATCTGTGATTCCCAGAGCCCGTAAATCCGGGATCCTGCGATTCCCAGAGCCCGTAAATCCGGGATCTGTGATTCTCAGAGCCCGTAAATGCGGGATCCCGTAAATGCGGGATCTGTGATTCCCAGAGCCCGTAAATCCGGGATCCCGTAAATCCGGGATCTGTGATTCCCAGAGCCCGTAAATCCGGGATCCTGCGATTCCCAGAGACCGTAAATCCGGGATCTGTGATTCCCAGAGCCCGTAAATCCGGGATCCTGCGATTCCCAGAGCCCGTAAATCCGGGATCCCGTAAATCCGGGATCCGTGATTCCCAGATCCTGTAAATCCAGGATCCCATAAATCCAGGATCCTGCAATTCCCAGATCCCATAAATCCAGGATGCTGTGATTCCCAGATCCTGTAAATCCAGGATCTCGTGATTCCCAGATCCTGTAAATCTGGGATCCTGCGATTCCCAGAGCCCGTAAATCCGGGATCCCATAAATCCAGGATCCCGTGATTCCCAGATCCCATAAACCCAGGATCCCATAAACCCAGGACCCTGCGATTCCCAGATCCCGCAGGATTCCCAGATCCCGCAGGATTCCCGCAGATCCGTTCCTTCCAGCATTCCACAATTCCTGGCCCGGCCCATTCCAGGATCCCGTAACCTCCCCTCCCCTCCCCTCCCTTTCCCCCGGGAGGATTCCCGCCCGCAATTCCGGCGGTTCTTCCCGGCAGAGATCGTGGACGGCAACGCCAAGATGACGCTGGGGATGATCTGGACCATCATCCTGCGCTTCGCCATCCAGGACATCTCCGTGGAAGGTAACGGGGGCGGGATCCGCTCCCGGAGCCGCGGGATCCACCCGGGATCCAGCCTGGGATCCAGCCCGGGATCCAGCCTGGGATCCAGCCCGGGATCCAGCCTGGGGTCCACCCGGGGTC